CTCAGATTAAACTTTTGATCTGTCATCTATGTTATATTACGAATAAATATTGACATTTGCCATCTCCACATCATTGCATTCAGTTTTTATGCACAGTTTGTTTAGTGTCCCAACTCTTTTGGAATCTGGTTTGTATGTGTGAATAGTGTCGGCCACACTTTATTGTTAAGTTTGATGTGAGCTCTAAACCAGTTTGTTACAAACCAGTTTACAAAACACGAAAGGAAACAGAACAGTCACGTGCAGCAGTCCACGTGCTCGGGACTGGATCTGTGTACACTGTACACATGGATGAACCTCCACACACAACTCGTGAGAAACTGTTGGACCGTGGGACAATTAGAGCAGCAGCTGTCCACGCGTGACCTGTCCACAGCACGCAACGAGTCAGGTGAACGGGGTTCGAACCCACCTGGAGCTCCGTCACATACACCGCCTTGTCTCCGAGCTGCAAGAACACGTTGTCCTCCGGTACCGGCGGGTTGGGACGAAGTCCAGTCGGAGGTGAAGTGGAACCAGAACAGAAGCAGAAGCTGCTCCGACTGTTTCTCAGTCTGAACAGACTGTTCCGGATCAGCACCGAATAACACTTGTGAAAACGAACCCACATGTAGACGTAACACAAGGTTATTAACATCTTCTCCAGCGCACGCTGCTTCTTGAACGGTGCTTTCTTGTCATCTTATTTTACAGTTGTTTTCTTGAAATCGCTCCAAACAGCGCGTCCAGCTGCCGGACGCGCTACTTCCGGTTTCTGCTGCTGCGCTTCCTCCCCACTTCCGGTTTCTGCTGCGGGCTGTGCGCTCGCCCCCTACTGACCCGGAGGGGAACTGCTGGACGCTGCTCAACAGTTTTCACTTTACTTTTGGTCTCACTTCTTCTGTGAATACATCTAAATGAATTCAGTGCGTTCCGAGATGTTTCCTCTTGATTATTACAGCTACAGGAAGTCCGTCCCAGCAAACGACAAAGTTCATGCTCAGTCATCCAGGTACCAAATCCAATCATTCTCAGTCAGGTCATCTGGACAGTTTCTTTTTTATAGAGACGTTGCACCCTCTATCCAGAGGGCTTCATCAGTCAGAGGAGTTCCAGTAAACTGTTTCCCCACAAAGCAGTAAACTCCTCAAGGGGACCAACCAGTTGCTGGAGCTGATGGTTCTGAGGGCCTCCTGTCCCTCCTCCCAGTCAGACAGCCACAGCCAAAGGGCTTAACAAGTCCCAGCACTTCTTCCTCTGATCTGGTCCTCAAATGGTGTCCCCACTGAGTTTGTTGATTCCTATAAATATTTGTGTATCTTGGTCGACTCACGTCTCTCTTTTAAGCTCCATGTGGAAAACTTGTTAAAGAAACTGGAAGTTAAACTTGGTTTGTTTTTCAGAAACAGATCCTGTCTAACTCTGAACCCTGAGGAACACCTTGTATCTGTGACTTTCCTTCCCTCCATCGATCACGGTGACATTATTTACATGAACGCTCCTACAAGCACCCTGCAGATGTTGGATGCTGCAGATGTTGGATGCTGTCTATCATGGTGCACTAAGATTCATAACTGGCTGTGATTATCGTACCCACCACTGCACCCAGTATTCACTGGTTAACTGGACATCATTAACTTCATGCAGACTCTCCCACTGGTACATTTTCATCTTTAAATCACTTCCTGGTCTGCTGCCTTCATACATCTCCTCCTACATGTCTCTGTGTGAGTGCAGCTACAGCGTGCGCTCTCAGGACATCATTACCTGCAGTGTTCCCTCAGTGAGGACTGAACTAGACAAAAGGACCTTCTCCTGCTCCGCTCCTGTTTCCTGGAATATCTTGTAAAAACACCTGAAGCTCTCGACCTTTGACCTCTCTGAGTGGCTTTAAAACTAAGGGTGCACCGACCGGCTGATTTATCGGCCCTGATTTACTTAATTTTGGGAAATTGGACAATATTTGCACGAGAAAACGATTTTACAGATTTTTTGTTTTAACAACAATTGTCTGAACTTCATTTATATTTCAAGCACTACCTCATGCCAGTTAAAACAAGTCTGTATTGTTCTAGGATATTGTTCAAGAGTGTGTTTTTCAATAAAATAAGACTTGAAACTTGAAGGTGCATTGTGACCTTAACACCTGAGTGTTGATTATAAAACTAAATCAGAATCAGGTCAGACTTTTTACAAATCGGTGATCGGGGACCGGCCAGAAAACTGCCATCGGTGCACCACTATTTAAAACCCTGTTAAGGTCCTGGCAAAAACCAATGCAGACATGTTCCTGTTTTTAGTTTTCTATATCGCCTTAGAATCCAGCTGTCTTTTTGCTACTATTCCTCTTGATGGTCCTTTTGGTTGCTATTTTGTTTTGATTTGTTAAAAGAAAAAAAAACAAATTTGTATACCTATACCTATTTTATGACCGTCTATTGATGCTGTTGTCCACCGTCATCATTCTTTGTTAAGAAATCAGGTCTCTCTTGTAAATGAGTCCCCGAGGCTCAATGGGATTAACTTGTCTCAATAAAGGTTGAATGAATGAAAAAATATCCTGCAACATGAGGCTGGACACATTTCTTATTACAGTTGATCCATTGCTCCTGTGTTTTCTAAGTCCTTGCAGCTCCAGCAGCAAGTGTTGACCTGGATTATGTTTTATTGCAGTTTCCATCCATCCATCCATCCATCAACTTTACCCACTTCTTCCTTCTTTGGGTCACAGGGGTCGCCGGTGCCCATGTCCAGCAATCACTGTGTGAGAGGGGGAGACACCCTGGACAGGTCTCCAGTCCATCACAGGGACACAGAGACAAACGACTCACCTAGGGACAATTTAGAGTTACCAATCAGCCTAACATGCATGTTTTTGGTCTGTGGGAGGAAACTGGAGCACCTGGAGAAAACCCACGCATGCACGGAGAGAACATGCAAACTCCACCCAGAACAGTCCCCTGACCGGGATTTGAACCAGGGACCTGCTCGCTGAGAGGCAGCAGCTCTACCAGTTGTGCCACCGTGCTGCACAGGTGTTTCCAAATGTAAACATATATATTTAACAACCCGTTACATAACGTAGATTGAGTGACTGCTCAATAACTGGACTTTAATCTGATCGCTCTGACCTGAAACGAGTTTTTAATTGATTCTACAGAAACTGAAAACAGACGTTCATCCACTGCAACGGAGACCGTTATCAAAACACACGAGTAAATACAGTACATGTACATCCAATGTGTGCTTGCTTGTACAATTCATTCATTCATACAAAGATAATATCAAAGATAAATGTGAATACTTTGTCTTGCGCAGGTAATGAAAGTCAGAATGCCAACAAACTACCAGTTCAGGCAGTACAATAAAAAGCACCTCGTGCACACACAGTATATGGAGCACGGTGAAACGTGTTGTCCACCCTGCCTAAATGGACCGCACCGTCCGTATACCTGAATACGTGAAAACTAAACATGTAGCCTGTAAGTTTCACTTTAAATATATTTAATTACCTGTTCTTTGAATTCTGCTTCCTGCAATTAAACTTAAATGTGAGAGGCACTGAAAAGTTGCTGTGAAGCCAAATTTAAACAGAAACTAAAACCAATTCATGCACCCAGTGAAACGGCTCTGTTCAGTGAAACGAGTTGCATTTCTTCGTGGTCTCGGCTAATTCAAGTTGTTGCCTGCTTCGTCTACAACTTTGCGCTTCTTCTCCTCCGCTGAAGCTTTGAAGATGCTGGCTCTGTAGTACTGCAGCTCTTTAATGCTCTCCTGGATGTCCTCCAAAGCTCTGAAGACACACAAATTGTTAAATGGTTTAACTGAAAACCCAGTTTTTGACCATTTTAACATGTTTATAGAGACACACTTTATTAGTGTGTAGCAATAACGAAGGCTGTGATGGAGGAAGAAGGACGACACTCCCTCCACATTTGGTTTTATTTTCCCCTCGTTGAAGTGGGGTTTACCACCAACAACTTAATTCATATATTCACCCTTTAATGATCAGAATCAGTCACGAAAGTAGAATCTGTTCATTACAGGGCGGCTGTGGCTCAGTGGTTAGAGCAGTCGTCCTCCAGTGGGAGAGTTGTGGGTTCGAATCCACCAGCAGTCACATGCTGAAGTGTCCCTGGGCAAGACACTGACCCCCTCACTGCCTCTGATGTGTGTCCATCAGTGCATGAATGTGATAAAGCTCTGATTAGTCTCTTTAGAATGATTTGTTCAGTTATCTTTGTAGAGATCTAGTATAGAGCTGTATGAATGGGACACAGATTGTTGTGAAGAGCTTTGAGTATCTTAAGGAGCTATATAACTATATATATAACTATCATATACTATATATAAATAAAAATATATAATATATATAACTGTGCTGGGTGAGTGTGGTCCTTCATGATGCAGGTGGCCCTCTTCCTCTTCCATAGATGTCTGTGATGGTGGGGAGGCTGATTCCAACAGATTTCTGTGCAGCCTTCACCACTCTCTGCAAAGCTTTTCTTTCTGCAGCTGTGCAGCCTCCATGCCACACGTTGATGCTGGAGCACAGGATGCTCTCCACTGCACACCTGTAGAAGGAGGTGAGGACTGAGCTTCCAGACCAGCTCGTCTCAGCCGTCTGAGGAAGTAGAGTCTCTGATGATCTTTCTTCATCAGGCTGGTGGTGTTGTTGCTCCAGCTGAGGTTGTTGTTCAGGTGCACACCCAAGTACTTGTAGCTGGAGACCACTTCTACTGCAGATCTCCCTATGTTCGGGGGCGGGTGTGTGTGTGTGTATCTCTGTCTGAAGTCCACGACCATCTCTTTTTTCTTCTTCACATTGATGTGAAGGTCATTCTCTTTGCATCAGCTCTCCAGGTGTTCCACCTCCTGCATGTAGCTGGACTCATCATTGTTTGTGATGCATCCCACCACCTGTATCATCTGCAAACTTTACAATGTGACAGCCTGGATGGGTAGCTGCACAATGTGAGCAGAGTGAACAGGAGGGGGCTCAACACACAGCCCTGAGGGGAGCCAGTGCTGAGGGTTATGGTGGAGGAGGAGAGGTTGTGGATCCTTACAGGGGTCTGTTGGTTAAGAAGTCCAAGACCCAGTTGCATAGGGAGAGGCTTAGTAATATTGTGTATGTTGTTCAGTGTCAGGAGGGTGATCAGTCTTACATCGGAGAAACTAAACAGCCACTGGCCAAAAGGATGGACCAGCACAGAAGATCAACATCATCAGGCCAGGACTCTGCGGTCTACACTCATCTCCAGACCAGAGGTCACTCTTTCAGGGATGAAGATGTTCACATCCTGGATAGAGAGGAATGATGGTTTGAGAGAGGAGTAAAGGAGGCCATCTTTGTGAAAAGAAACCGTCCATCATTAAACAGGGGCGGAGCCTCCGGGTTCAACTGTCCCCCTCATTCATTTTGATATTGCTGTTTTAAGGTGAAAATGTTTAGATCCTATAATGTACTCTTTGTTTTTGCTTATTTTTATGTTCAAGCAGAAAGCCTAACCACAAAAACCACGATATGTTATAAAGTCTTGCCCCACACTGTGCACTTGTTAGTTAAAAATTAGACAGATGCAGATTTGAGCTTCTAATTTACCTGTGAGTTGAGCTTTTGTGAGGCCCCTTTTGATATTCCTCTGGAAACCACCGTCTGTAAAATTGTAAAAAGAAAGAAGAAAAAAAAGCAATGCAAGTCACATTTTGTTTGTAGAACTAAAATAAACTGAATTAACCAGAAATTGTTTCAGTTCTGTACCAGTTTGGTTATTACATACACCCGTCAAGCAACAGGTTATTCAAATGTGCACAGATCGTCACCTGCAGAGCTCCTTGATGGTGCTCACATCAATGATCCTGTAGTGAAGGTGGTGCATGAACTGTGGCATGTACTTATCCAGAAACTTCTTGTCTGCATGAACAGAGTTGCCTAGAGAAGAGGAAATCACAAGACTTGGCTAACTCAAGCGTATGAAAAGATACCCAACTCCATACCTGCAAACTCAGGAGGGATAATAAAGGTGACACAACTAGCACCTAGAAAGCTGCGTCATTAAATTCTCTGTGCATTTTCCATTATCGCTGAACAAATGAACAGGTCTGTGCATGAAGCACAAAATAGACAACACGGGACCGAGTTAAAGAAATTAATTCACGTCTATCTTGGGGGATGGTCCTCGAAAGTATCTCACTGGTCATTCAGGTTAGACTTCTGGTCACATGATGACAGTGGGAGGAGTTATAGTTGGGTACTTGAAACCTTGAGTGAAAGACCTTGTACACCTGAGGGCGTTCTCTTTGTGTCGCAAATGCCTGCCCCCATGAGGGGCGGGGTGCCGGGAGCCACGAGGGCCCAGCTCTGTCAAAGGAAAACGTTAGTCACTGGCAGGAAATACTGAGAGACGGCAGGAAGCCCTTCAAAATATAAAAATATACTTTTGAAAATTATGAAAAAAATACATAAATAAGATGCTCCGGCATATAAACCATAGGGTACAAAGTGTGAGACAAAAGTAGCGGCAGTTTTCAGGAGTTTTGAAATCGACTCCGAGCCTGACTGCACGCTTTAAGCGTGTGAATTATAGCTGAAGAGAACCGATGAGGACAACTGAGGAGTTACCACAGAATACAGCAGCGATCTTAAATCTACGCTCGGCAAAACACAGCTCTTAAAGTCATCTGAGCGGAGGCTGCAGCAGGGGCGCTCCAACAGGAAGAGGAGACGCTACGCCCGGTTGAAGAAGAGGCTGCCGGGCAGGGGTGTCAGAAAGGATGAAAGCTAACGCTGGCAGACTACAGATAGTCCTCTCTGATTCTGTTGAACGTCTGCTCTTTGGACAAGATGCGTTTGGTTCGTTTGAGAGGGTGTGTCTCAGAGGAGATGATGAAACGTGCAGAGCTTTGTCTCAAGGAATCATGGCTTAACAGCAACATGCCAGACTCAGAGTTCCAGACGGTGTGTGTGTGTGTGTGTGTGTGTGTGTGTGTGTGTGTGTGTGTGTATATATATACATATATTCACACACACACAGATTGTGTGTGACTGATAGTTATAAACCTTGGAATAGAAAAGTCTTGCATAGCTTTTTCTGTGTGTTGCTTATGAATTAATGATGCATCTTCCATTTGTCGCTTCACTTTTGCTACATCCAATATAGTGGCGACGTACAATTATTACGTACAAAGTATTGGGCCCCTTGAACTTTTCAACCTTTTGCCACATTTCAGGCTTCAAACATAAAGATATAAAATTTAATTTTTTGTGAAGAATCAACAACAAGTGGGACACAAACGTGAAGTGGAATGAAATTTATTGGATGTGTCAAACTTTTTTAACAAATAAAAACTGAAAAGTGGGGCGTGCAGTATTATTGGGCCCCTTTACTTTCAGTGCAGCAAACTCAGTCCAGAAGTTCAGTGAGGATCTATGAATGATCCAATGTTGTCCCAAATGACTGATGATGATCAATAGAATCCACCTGTGTGTAATCAAGTCTCTGTATAAATGCACCTGTTCTGTGATCGTCTCAGGGTTCTGTTCAAAGAGCAGAGAGCATCATGAAGACCAAGGAACACACCAGGCAGGTCCGAGATACTGTTGTGGAGAAGTTTAAAGCCGGATTTGGATACAAAAAGATTTCCCAAGCTTTAAACATCCCAAGGAGCATTGTGCAAGCAATCCTATTGAAATGGAAGGAGTATGAGACCACTGCAAATCTACCAAGACCCGGCCGTCCCTCTAAACTTTCATCTGGAACAAGGAGAAGACTGATCAGAGATGCAGCCAAGAGGCCCATGATCACTCTGGATGAACTGCAGAGATCTACAGCTGAGGTGGGAGAGTCTGTCCAGAGGACAACAATCAGTCGTACACTGCACAAATCTGGCCTTTATGGAAGAGTGGCAAGAAGAAAGCCATTTCTCAAAGATCTCCATAAAAAGTGTTGTTTAAAGTTTGTCACCTGGGAGACACCAAACATGTGGAAGAAGGTGCTCTGGTCACATGAAACCAAAATCCAACTGTTTGGACACAATGCAAAACGATATGTTTGGTGTAAAAGCAACACAGCTCTTCACCCTGAACACACCATCCCCACTGTCAAACATGGTGGTGGCAGCATCATGGTGTGGGCCTGCTTTTCATCAGCAGGGACAGGGAAGATGGTCAGAATTGATGGGAAGATGGATGGAGCCAAATACAGGACCATTCTGGAAGAAAACCTGTTTGAGTCTGCAAGAGACCTGAGACTGGGACGGAGATTTATCTTCCAACAAGACAATGATCCAAAACAATAAGACACATCTACAATGGAATGGTTCACAAATAAACGTATCCAGGTGTTGGAATGGCCAAGTCAAAGTCCAGACCTGAATCCAATCCAGAATCTGTGGAAAGAGCTGAAGACTGCTGTTCACAAACGCTCTCCATCCAACCTCACTGAGCTCCAGCTGTTCTGCAGGAAGAATGGGCAGAACTTCAGTGTCTCCATGTTCAAAACTGATGGAGACAAACCCCAAGAGACTTGCAGCTGGAACTGCAGCTGGAACTGCAGCAAGAGGCGGAGCTACAAAGTATTAACGCAAGGGAGCCAATAATACTGCACGCCCCACTTTTCAGTTTTTATTTGTTAAAAAAGTTTGACACATCCAATAAATTTCATTCCACTTCACGATTGTGTCCCACTTGTTGTTGATTCTTCACAAAAAATTAAAATTTTATATCTTTATGTTTGAAGACTGAAATGTGTCAAAAGGTTGAAAAGTTCAAGGGGCCGAATACTTTCGCAAGGCACTGTAGATGTCTATGTCCTAACCCCTCCCTGCTGGTCAACAATTTCCGTCACTAACATAGCTGTAAGCTAGCATGCAACACGGAGTTTTCTTCCCCCCCCCCCCCCCCCCCCCCACAAAACCCCCCAAACAGATGAGCACCTGCTAAGCCAAGTGACCGAGAAGGAACGCGGTTTCTTAAAGGGAAATGATGTCATCCACCTAACCTGTCAAACCCCTCCCCCCACACCACCCCAAAAATAACAACTCTTAGGATCTACACGATTCTCATAAATGACATATTTTAGTTTGATAATGGTGAAATTCACAGAAAAGCAATATGCAGGTATGCAAAACATGCACAAAGTTGTATTTAATGCAAGGACTGCGTTTGTAGACACCGTTTCATAAACAATCTAGGGTCATTTTAAACCGGTACTTAACTTATGAATGACAATTGTGTTTTGGAACTAGTCATGCAGACTGCATCATGTCATTCTGTCAGTAACTCACCAGCAAGAGGACACTGTCCAGGGGGGGTGTGCTGCCTGATAAAGGATAGAAACTCGTATTCTGCTTGTTCCAGAATAACTTTACTGTCTCGTACGGCCTGGGTCAGTCCTGACTGAAATAAACAAGACAGAACATTTTGAATAAACAAATTGCTTCAATAGTGCCTCGCAGATTTTTCCACATAGTAGTTTTGTTTTTACGTCAGTGACCACAACATGGCAAAGGGTTCCCTCAAGCTAGATGACTGTTGAGTCAAAGTTTTCACTGAGTGAGGTCATTTCAAAGAGAAATTTGTATTGTAAGTGTTCAAAAAAGTGCAAAGAGGCCAGAGGCTACAAAAAGAAAAATATGTTGGACAGAATGTCTCCTTGAATCGCCACCTTATCGTGGTGGAGGAGTTTGTGCACCTGAATGATCATAGGAGCTATGCTGTCGGGGGCAATTATAATTGTCCCTGGTAGGGTCTCCCAAGGCAGATTGGTCCTAGGTGACAGGCCAGACAAAGAGCGATTCGGAAGATTTTTATGGTCATGACACAGCAAGGAACTCCATGTCCCTTGCCCGGACGTGGGTTACCGGGGCAACAACCTAGAGCCACGTCTGGGGGAGGGGCTCATCAGCGAGCACCTGGTGACTGGGTCTCTACCCATGGGGCTCGGTCAGGCTCAGCCTGAAGGAGCAGCATGGGTTTGCCTTCCTGTGGACCCACCACCTGCAAGAAGGGCTATAAAAGTCAGGTGCATGATGCTATGGGCAGTGGCCAAAGGCGAGGACCTTGGCGCTCTGACCCTGGCTTCTCAAAGCTGGGTCTTGGGACATGGAATGTAACCTCTCTGGCAGGGAAGGAGCCTGAGCTTGTGCGTGAGATTGAGAGGTACCGACTAGATATAGCTCTCTGGGAGAGCTTTAACCACATCCCAGCTGAGGTGGGGGACATTGAGTCAGAGTGAGCCATGTTCTGCACCTCGCTTGTTGAGGTAGCTGCCTTGAGTTGTGGCCGCAAGGTTGTCAGTGCTTCTCGCGGTGGCCATCGACAAACTCAGTGGTGGACACACCTGGTTAGGGAGGCTGTCAAGCTGAAGAAGGAGTCCTATCGGGCCTTGTTGGCCAGTGGGACTCTGGAGGCAGCTGAGGAGTACCAGAGAGCCAAGCAGTGTGCAGCCTTGGCTGTTGCAGAGGCAAAAGCTCAGATGTGGGAGGAGTTCGGTGAGACCTTGGATAGAGACTCTAGGTCAGCTCCGAGGAGATTCTGGTAAACCATCAGGCGGCTGAGGAGAGGAAAGCAGCGCTTTACTAACGCTGTGTTCAGTGAAGGTGGGGTGCTGTTGATCTCAAACAATGATGTCATCAGGAGGTGAAAGGAATACTTCTTGGACCTACTCAATCCCACCAGCACGTCTTCCATGGAGGAAGCTGAGTCGGGGGACTTTGGGGTTGATCCGTCCATAACCGTGGCTGAGGACGCCGAGGTAGTTAAAAAGCTCCGTGGTGGCAGGACTCCGGGAGTGGATGAGATTCACCCTGATTTCCTTATGTATATGAATGTTTCTGTAAAGTGCCCTGAAACAACTTTGTTGTGATTTGGCGCTACATAAATAAACTGAATTGAATTGAAATAAGGCTCTGGATGTTGTGGGGCTGTCTTGGCTTACACACCTTTGCAACATGGCGTGGACATCGGGGGCAGTGCCACTGGACTGGCAGACTGGGGTGGTGGTTCCCCTCTTCAAAAAGGGGGACCGGAGGGTGTGCTCCAATTATAGGGGCATCACTCTCCTTAGCCTCCCTGGTAAGGTCTATTCAGGGTTACTGGAGAAGCGAGTCCGATCGTTGGTCGAACCTCAGATCCAGGAAGAACAACGTGGGTTCCGTCCTGGCCGTGGAACACTGGATCAGCTCTTTACCCTCACTAGGGTCCTTGAGGGGTCATGGGAGTTTGCCCATCCTTTCTACATGTGTTTTGTGGACTTGGAGAAGGCATTCAACCATGTTCCTCGGCGTACACTGTGGGGGGTGCTCCGTGAGTATGGGATTGGAGGCCTGTTGTTACGGGCTGTTCAGTCCCTATATAAGCGGTGCGAGAGTTTGGTTCGCATTGCCGGCAGTAAGTCGGACCCCTTCAAGGTGGGAGTTGGACCAGGGCTGCCCGTTGTCACAGATTCTGTTCATAACTTTTATGGACAGAATTTCTCAGTGCAGCCAGTTGGCAGAGGGTTTCCGGTTTGGTGACCTCAGGATTCCATCTCTGCTCTTTACAGATGATGTGGTCCTGTTGGCGTCATCGTGCCATGATCTCCAGCTCTCACTGGAACGGTTCGCAGCAGAGTGTGAAGCGGCTGGGATGAGAATCAGCACCTCCAAATCTGAGGCCATGGTCCTCAACCGGAAAAGGGTGGATTGCTCTCTTCAGGTCTAGGGTGAGGTTCTGCCTCAAGTAGAGGAGTTCAAGTATCTTGGGGTTTTGTTCATGAATGAGGGAAGAATGGAGCGTGAGATTGACAGACGGATCGGTGCAGCATCTGCAGTACTGTGGACTCTGTACCGGTCCGTTGGGGTGAAGAGAGAGCTGAGCTGTAAGGCAAAGCTCTCTGTTTACCGGTCGGTCTACGTTCCTACCCTCATCTATGGTCATGAGCTCTGGGTAGTGACTGAAAGAATGAGATTGCAGATACAGGCGGTTATAATGAGTTTTCTCTGCAGGGTAGCTGGACTCTCGCTTAGAGACAGGGTGAAAAGGTAAATTATAAGGGACAGACTCGGAGTAGAACCGCTACTCCTCCACGTCGAGAGGAGCCAGTTGAGGTGGTTCAGGCATCTAGTAAGGATGCCCCCTGGGCGCCTCCCTAGTGGGGTGCTTTGGGCATGTCCAACTGGGAGGAGACCCCGGGGAAGACCCAGGACATGCTGGGGAAACTATGTCTCTCGGTTGGCCTGGGAATGCCTTGGAATCCTCCCAGAAGAGCTGGAAGAGGCTGTGGAAAGAGATGTCTGGGCCTCCCTGCTCAAGCTGCTGCCCCCGCGACCCGACTTCAGAATAAGCGGAAGATAATGGATGGATTTATTTATCTATTGTAAAAATAAGGCAAAGCAAAGAGGAAAAATTTGAAAGACTTTACAGAAGTTATCTCTTCAGAGGTGTGTTATTCATATTCTTAAAACACTTGGGACATTTTATTTTTTTCATTTAATTGTTGTACTATTTTCTGATTATTTAAAAGCAAAATCAGTGTTAAAGGTCTATCATTCCTTAACGAAATGTGTATTGGTGCCTGCTTTTTATGCTGGAGGTTTAAACTAAGACCTTTTTATGTTGAGAAATAATTGAGTTGTAGCCATTTGCTGAAACTTTTACATATTGAATGACTCTCAGCTATTACCACACCAAATTTTAACATTGTATTTTCTTGTAAAGAAAACTAAATTATAGCCATGTTAAGGTATTAAGGTCAATTGGCTGTGGTGGCCATCTTGAATTAGGTTGGCGATAGTAAAAGTTTTCGAAACTAAATATTTTACTTTAGAAGTCATTTAAATATTTAATGTTTTTCACAAGCGTACCTTCTCTTTTTAGAGACCCCTCTTCTTTTAGTATTAATGTTTTTTATTGATAAGAACTAAATAAGCAGACACTTCTCACAGACACTGAAAGGCTGCATGCTTGCCTTCCTTGCAAAACAGATCAGTGATCTAACTGGTGATCTCACTCATACCAGATTAAATAAAAGGTTAATAAAAACAAGATGACTATCTGCAGTGCAAAATAGTTATCTTAAGGGCGCACATAAAATGCTAAAGAGATACAGCAGCTTGAGAGGGAATCAATCAGTGTCAGCAGGTCCTAATCTTTGAGGGCAGAACGATGTAACCTTCAGTCAGAGCTACGTTTTTGCTTACACGTGTTCTCTTAAGAGCCTGTGAATTTTGAAATTAACTAAAATATGTTTCTCACTCATTAGGATGGTGAATTTGTATAACAGTCATAATCTGTTCATTGTACAGAGTCAAAATGAACAACCAACGATTTCCATAAGCCTGCTGTGCTGGGTCCAGTTGAAAATCAAACAGTTCTGGTCATGACCTGAGCAACTGGAACATCTTGACATTAAAATAAGACATGGAGAATGGAGTCGTCTACCTTTCCATGATGCTCTTTACACCAGTCAGACATCCCATCCAGAAGCTCATCTGACTGCTTGATAATCAAGTTGGGCCCCTGCCAACCAGCAACAAGAGAGTTTTATTAATGAAACAAGCAGAAGAAACAGCAGCGTTGTTTGGTTTTATTACTTCAGCTACGATGTTCAGGTCACAGTCTGTGATGATGCATGCCATCTCGATGATTTGATCTTTCTCAATGTCCAAGCCTGTCATCTGTTCAAAGGAAAAAATATATACTTAAATATTTAGAGACAGTGGGGGAGGAGTCACTGAACAAGAAGCTAGCATTCAGAGAAGGTTGACTGTTCTGCTCATTAAAAACAACTTACTGTACTGCAGTGCCTCGCTACTTCGAGGTTCGTTTATCGTGGATTCACTCTATCACGGTTTTTCAAGGTAAGATTGGACAAGACACAATTGGCCGATTGATGGATGCGCCATGAGTTATTTACAATAAATTATTTAAATGATTTTGCACCATGTGTGCAGCCCACCAGTGCAGGGGGAAGCTCCCTCCGGCAGCTGATCAGCTGATCTGCCACACACACACATTTCTCCTGCATCAGCTTTGTGAAGGGTTAACCCTTTGCTGTCCAAATGCACCAATCAACTTTTGTCTTCCAACTTAAAATTCAAAGCATGTCACGTCGTAAAATCGTCATAATCACTAAATATAAACGTGTTGTTAATTTAAGTTGTTTTAGACCTTCTATGTTGAGTTGCTGAAGAGATCAAGAAGTATATTTCTGCAGTACATTGTAAAGTACATTGCACAGCTTTACTTCGTGTTTCCATTCTGAATGAACGAGGCATCTTCTCCCATGGCTTCACTTTTGCCATTTCCAACTAGAGGTGCAGAAAAACATGGATTTTTTTTAAAATAATCTAGATTCTTAGTCCTGGCGATTCTGAATCGATTCAAAAGGTCCATAAATCGATTTTAAAATGCGTTTAAATTTTATTTTTTTCTGCTCCTACTCCCGAGCGTACTGCATATCACATTACATGTCCGCTCGGCCACCGTAGAATTGGGCCGTGTAGGCCACCATACAGCAAGCTAGCCAGCCAGCTCCATAGATATCATACAAACACTAGATACAGCATTGACCACTGTCGCCTACTGGCGCTGACGAGCCGTAAGGCCGCCATCTTGGAACGGTCGCCCGCTCTAATCAGTGTGACCTGTTTGTCAGGAGCAATGAAGTATCCGAGCGTTTATTTTGGAAATACGACAAAATTCATGGAAGAAGAAAGTGAAGCAGCCGACAGCGAACTCTGCAACAAACTTCCAGTCTTCTCCAAAGACTAAGAGTTCCCTCCACCTCCTGCTGCATCACTAAGGAGTAACAGTGTTACCGTCTCTAATGGCTCTGCCCCCAACGCCCTCTGTAGCCAACGGACAGTCTGAACCTGCTGCTCATCTAACTTGTTCAAGGAAATGTTCTTCCTGTGGCATCAGCAGAGTTCCACAAACAAATATTATTGCATTGGAAAATGATATATACACATAATATTCTCTGCACTCAACAGTAATTTGAGTACAGAAAAACCTGTCGTCCTGCCACATCCAGTGTTGCCAGATTGGGCGGTTTTCATTCTGATTTTGCAGGTAACAATAGCTTTGGGCGGGTGGGGATAATTTGGGTGGATTTGGAGTCAGAGCGGAGGTTTTTGAGTTAATCTATTAAACACGTTTCAAACAATCGTTCACCATTATTGGTTCCAAGCTCCCCTGACCTTTCTCCATCACTGATTCTATTCAGGTGTCTCTTGTAAATGAGTCCTCGAGGCTCAACGGGATTAACCTGTACAAATAAAGGTTGAATTGTCATCTCAGCCAGGGCGTTCACCACAGAGAACTGGTGAGGCAGTTAGTGGACGCCTCGTTGAGTGGGGGGACCTGATGCGGCGGTACGTCCGAGTGGCCGCCATATTGGATGTGGCAGAGCTGCCGGTCAACCAATAAAGGAAATGCACTGAACACCATAAAGCACCGCTCTACAAAGTGTTTTCACTTAACGCCTGTCATTCACACACACCGATATATCTGGAAAACAAACAGGCACCAAAGACAACATAACTTTTAACATGATTATTGAAAATGTTTACTCCTAAAATATTTAGGTAAAAGGTATAAGCACTAAACCAACGTGTGAATTCTTCTGAGTGTTTACAGCAACTAATAATGTGTTTAACACTATTACTGTGGGGATAAATATAAAAATATTTATACTGAACATTGAATCTGTGCCTATAATAACCAGATCCTGTTGATTCTCCGAATAAAGAACACGAACATCCTGATCCATGCTCAATAATCCAGGTAGACAAATCTAAAAAAGTTAAGTCAGATCCTCTGGACGTTCAAAATAATAAATAAAAATAAAATAGTTTTCTTTTTTCGAACATCCAGAGGACCGGACTTACCTTTTT